CATCTGGGGGATGGTCATGCTGGAGACTCAGACTTGTGGGGGGAGGGAGGGAAATGGGCATTTATTGAAACCTTAAAATCTGTACCCCCAGGCTGGGCGTGGTGGCTCACGCCTGTAATCCTAGCACTTTGGGAGGCCGAGGCCGGTGGATTGCTCAAGGTCAGGAGTTTGAAACCAGCCTGAGCGAGACCCCGTCTCTACCAAAAATAGAAATAAATTAATTGACCAACTAAACATATATATACAAAAAATTAGCCGGGCATGGTGGCGCATGCCTGTAGTCCCAGCTACTCGGGAGGCTGAGGCAGAAGGATCGCTTGAGCCCCGGAGATTGAGGTTGCTGTGAGCCAGGCTGACGCCACGGCACTCACTCTAGCCTGGGCAACAAAGTGAGACTCTGTCTCAAAAAAAAAAAAAAATCTGTACCCCCATAATATGCTGAAATAAAAAAAAAAACACAAAAAAAACAAACCTGTAAGCACCAAGCCCAGATGGGTTCACTGGTGAATTCTACCTAACATTTAAGGAAGAAATTATATCAATTCTCTACAATCTCTTCCAGAAGATAGAAGTGAAGGAAATACATCCTAACTCATCACATGAGGCTAGCATTACTCTAATACCAAAGCCTGACAAAGATATTATAAGAAAACTATAGAACTACAGACCAATATCTCTCATGAACATAGATATAAAAATCCTCAACAAAATATTAGCAAATTGAATCTAATAATGTGTAGAAAGACTTACACATCACAACCAAGTGGGATTTATTCCAGGTATGCAAGGCTGGTTCAATACTCAAAAATTAATTAATGCAATGCATCACATTAACAGGCTAAAGAAGAAAAAAAAATCACATAATTTTACCAACAGATGCAGAAAAATCATTTGACAAAATACAACACCCATTGATGATTAAAAAAACTCCCAGCAAATGAGGAATAAAGGAGAAGTTCCTCAAATTCATAAAAAAAATCTACAAAACCCTACATTTAATATTATACTTAATGGTGAGAAACTAGGAGCATTTCCTCTAAGACCAGGAGCAAGGCAAGGATTTTCGTTCACCACTGCTTTTCAGCATTACACTAGAAGTTCCAGCTGATGCAATAAGACAAGAAAAGGAAATCAAAGGTATACAGACTGAGAAAAAGAAATAATACTGTCTTTATTTGAACATGACATGATCATCTATATCAGTGGTCCCCAACCTTTTTGGCTCCAGAGACCACTTTCACAGAAGACGATTTTTCCACAGACCAGGGTGGGAGGGGGAGGGATGGTTTCAGGATAATTCAAGTGCATTACATTTATTGTGCACTTTATTTCTATTATTATTACATTGTAATATATAATAAAATAATTATACAACTCACCATAATACAGAATCAAATGCTGCCACTGATGTGACAGGAGGCGGAGCTCAGGCAGCGAAGTGAGCGATGGGGAGCAGCCATAAATACAGATGAAGCTTTGCTTGCTCACCCACCACTCACCTCCTGCTGTGCAGCCCAGTTCCTAACAGGCCATGGACCAGCACCAGTCTATAGCCTGGGGGGTTAGGGACTGCAGGTCTATATAGAAAATCTGGAAGAACTGACCAAAATAATTCCTGGAACTAATAGCAATTGTAGCAAGATTTCAGGGTACAAGGTTAATGTACAAAAGTCAATCATTTTCCTATATACCAGCAATGAACAAGTGGAATTTGAAATTAAAAACATGTTACCATTTATGTTAGCACCCCTCCAATAATGAAATACTTAGGTATAAATCTAAAAAAATGTACAAGATCTATATGTAGAAAACTACAAGATGTAATAAAAGATATAAAAGAAGAACTAAATAAATGAAGAGATCATGTTCATGTTCATGAATAGAAAGACTCAATATTGTCAAGATATCATTTCTTCCCAATTTGACCTACAGATTTAACAAAATCCCAATCAAACTTCTAGCATGTTATTTTGTGGGTACTGACAAATTGATTCTAAAGTTTATGTGGAGAGGCAAAAGACCTAGAACAGTCCACTCAATATTGAAGGAGAACAAAATTGGAGGACTGACACTACCCAACTTCAAGACTTACTATACAGCTTCAATAATCAAGACAGTTCAGTGTGGTATTGGTGAAAGAAGAGACAAATAGGTCAATGGAACAGAAGAGAGAGTCTGACCTCTTACAGCGCAGTCAGAAGAGGAAAGGTAGGCAGGCCGCCTGCCTCCAGCGGATGAGAGACCTGGGCTTTCGGGAGCCAAGAGCCAAGCACCCCAGGAAGGGCACAGGATTCTGGCTCTGGGACACTGCCCAGGATGGCGCACCCTGCACTCTGCTCATTCTCCCAGAGTCCCAAGCCCTTTCCGCCACGTGGAGGATGTCAGGGCTGTACACCACAGCGTGCACACGGGCCTTTCCAGGCCACAAATCACTTCCTTGCATTCTATTCCATTAAAGCCTCCCAGCAACCAAGAGGTAGGCAGCAGCCAGAACATCCCCCATCAGACACCCCCGATGGAGAAACTGAAGCTCAGATAGGTGCCCACGGTCACACCGTCCATGACGGAGACTCCAATCTAGGTCTCCCGGTTCCAGACCCTGAGTTTCCCTTTCAGGCAGGCTGTCTCAGAGAGACCACATGAATCATCAGGAGAATCTTCATCTTGTCATTGGGCCATGTACCCAATGCCCTTCCCAGTGGCCTAGGGCACACCCACACAATCTCTGAACTGGAGTGGACCCATCCTACAGATGAGCAAGTTAAGGGAGGAAAAGCTTTGACAGAATGACTCAGTGGCAAAAAACAGAGTCTGACTTCTAGTCCTGACCTTGAGCATGCAGCTAACAAGGAAGGAGAAGGGGACCACAGCTCTCTCCCTCCTGCCTGCCCTGGGCAGCCTTGCTGTGGGTACCGGCTGGGCCTGAGTCCCACCCACATTTTATACCAAAAAGCCAGGGAGTCCCCAGTTGCCGGGCCTCCCGCCTTCACGTTGAGGCGTTGAGGGAGGCCTGTGTGCAGTGGGTCTCCGCTGTCCTAGTTTCCTGGCTAAAGACCTAGATAGAGTATCTAAATTTTCCTCCAGCCAACTGCTGCCCCAGATTTAGCCTCTCTGATGGATAAGTCTGCCTCTCTCCCCGCCAGTGGCTGTGTCTGTCACGCCACCCCATCCCCGGGCTTCCTGAATCACCTGTCTTTAAGTTGCTGACAGCACAGTGGAATCCTGACTTGAAATGTATAGAACCGGATAAAGAAAATGCCAGAACTCTAACTCGAGGCCCGGAGGAGAGCCTGGAGACACGGAGGCCCAGACTGGCGGGGAGGGGGTGTTGAGGGTGGCGGTGGAACAACTGCGCGACGCCGATCCTCAAATCCACACCAGCCAAATACAGATCCTCAGTCTTTTTTAATTTAATCAACAAAATGACTCTGAAGTCCAGCTGGAAGGATAAATGAGCAAGAATAACTGATAAAATTTTAGAAGAAAATATGAGGGTGGATTGTCCTATTGGATTAAAATCAAGATGTAAAGTTGCAAAAATCAAACTGTTCATTCATTGACTCAATCCACAAACATTTATCAAGTGCTCACCTTGGGCCAGGAGCTGTGCCCGGCCCTGGGAGTGTCTGGAGTGCAAAGGGGACATGGTGCTTCTTGCCAGTAGGGCCGGATGCAGAGCCCAGGGGGGGCTTGTTAGAAAGCGTGAGAAGCTCCTAAGAGACAAGTGAGGTGGTCAGGCGCTGAGACAAAGCTGATGGCCCCAGCCCTACGGCTGCCTGGGACAGGACAGGCGAAGTGGCAGAAAGCAGGGGACTAAATCGGGCCCTCCCTCTGTGGGCTCCTCTGCACAAGCTACTCTGCATCTTCAGGCCTTAAACAGTTCACAGGCAGGCTGGGCCCCTATTAATAACATGATCATAATACTACCAAACGCAGATACTCATTAACCACAGACTATGTACCAAGCACTTTGTGTGTAACATCGCACTCAGCTCTCATGAACCTAAGATAGGTTCTAGGCTGGGCGCGGTGGAGGAGGATCACTTGGGCTCAGGAGTTTGAGATTAGCCTGAGTAAGAGTGAGACCCCATCTCTACTAAAAATAGAAAAATTAGCCAAGCGTCATGGCATGTGCCTGTAGTCCCAGCTACTCGGGAGGCTAAGGCAAGAGGATCGTTTGAGCCCAGGAGTTTGAAGTTGATGTGAGCTACGATAATACCACTGCACTCTACCCAGGGTGACAGAGTGAGACTCTCTCTCTCTCTCTCAAGAAAAAGATAGGTTGTGTTAATCTATTATTATCCCGATTTTGCAGACAAGAATATTGATTTTCAGAGAGGTTAAGTAACTTGCCCAAGGTCACAGAGCTAGAAATGAAGTGAAGGTCAGATACAAACACAGGCAGCCTGGCTCCAGAGTCTCCCCTGCCCTTCGGGTGTGGTAATGACACCTGAGATCAGGCAAGGCCCCTGCTGCACAGAGAGTGCCGATGAAGTTGTCTTCAGCGGCTCACCACCCTCAAATGAGGCAAGAGTGTCCCGTACCCCACAGGCTGCCTCCAGCCAATGCTTGGCCTGCTCAGGACTTTGTTGACATTCAGAGAATGAAGGAACTTCTGAGATCGTCAATCACCGTTATGGTACCAGAAGCCCCTCTGTGGTTACCAAAGGCCACTACAGCCACCTGTGAACACTGACAAGTGGCTCATTACCTGCTGACACAGCTTATGACAGTTCTGGATGGTGCTTTTTCTGGAAGGTGATCACTCACCCTTTTTACTTTCCTCCCAGGAGTTGTCGAGGAAAAAGACACTCCTTGCCAAGAAACTATGACAAGTCCCAGGCACTGTCATCCCACCTGGCCTCCCTGCTCTGCCCCATCTGGTTCTCCAGCAAGGCCTGAGCGCCCAGCTCGCCTACGCCACTCCCCAGTGCTAGAAGCCAGAGCTGGCGCAGATGCCGGGGCCCTCGGAGCGCAGCGGGAGGGGAGTGTGCGCCTACCTCTCTCTGCTCCCGCTGAAGGCACAGCTCTTCCGTCTCCTCCATCAGCTTGTCTGCCAAAGCAAGCACACACACACACACACACTCACTAAAGTCTCGCTCCGGATCCAAGGTCCTGAGGTGGCCTCTGTCACCCCTGGCATCTTTTGAGGAAGAGGTTAGCACCCTGCCAGCCAGGGTAGGGCTGGCTTTGGAGGATGGAAGCCGCCTCACTGGCCTGAGCTGCCACCCCCCTTTCCTGTCATCGTCACTGCTTTGTGCATTCACAGGGCCATGAAGGGCCGCATCCTCAGAAGCTCGAGTGGGTGTCCGCTGTAGCCAGGGCAGTCCCCACCTGCCTGCCACCTGCACTCGGCTCTGGCTGGTGGGGCGGGCAGAGTCCTAGGGGAGGTGTCCGGAGCAGTCAGAGGGAGGCAGTGCTGGGGCCCGAGAGACTAAGCAGGCGGAAGGGGAGAGGGTCCCAGGCAAAGGAGCAAACCCTCAGTCTCACGGGCTTCTCTCTCAAACAGAGCATTTGCCAACCAGTCAGGGCTACAGGGGCCTGGAACCCTGTGGCCAAGTTTAAAGTGGTCTGGGGGAGTGGCTGGGGGCAAGTCCAGGCCCTGGGGCCCTGGGTAGGATGACAACATCAACTCCGCTTATGGGGCCCTTACTGCGTGCCTGATGCAAACACTTACAGACACCTTCTCATTTAGCCCAATCCTCATACCACCTCTAAAACCAGGGGCTCTTTCTATCTCCATTCTAAGGATGAGGAAATTGAGGCTGAGCTGCGCAAAGACAGATGAGTGACGAGGCTGGATGCAGAGCCCAGGCTCCTAACCACCAGGCTCTCCTGCCTTCAGCCACACTGGCCAAAAGGACACTTGCTGCACCATAGAGCCCCCAGGTGCTAACTGGTCTCTGGCTCCTCATAGCCTGCTAAGCCCCACCTGAGACACCCTCAGCCCTGCCCAGGTCCCCCACCAAACCCCCAGCTATAGCCCCCAGCCCCCAAGTGCTACTATTAGGGAGCCTCAGCTTCCAGCGCACCCCTCCAGCCAACCTAAATACTCCTGCTTTTCCTTAGCCAACTGCAGCCCCTGGGCCTCCAGGCTTTTGATCATGGCTTCTCCCAGCTGGGCATTCTTCCAGGTCCTGGGGAGGGAGGGCAGATGGGACAGAGGAGAGAAGGGGAAGAAACAGACAATCGTTAAAATGGAAGGGGAGAAGGGAAGGAGCGTGCGCAGGTTTTGTACTCGCCCGTCCTTTCTCCTCCAGATCCCCTCTGGCACCCGTGGCTCTGGGCACGCCACCAGCACGGATCACTTACGGTAGCTGGAGGCTGGCCCAGGCTGCAAACTGGGCCATGGGGGGCTGGGCCAACAGCACTTTCAGAGCAGGGAAGAGATTGCTTCCCAGGTGGATTTCTACACCACAGAATGCCCTGCACCTGGCGCAAGGCCTCGCACAAGGAGCACAGTCAGCGTTGTTTGTTGGATGAAAAGCATGACACAGCTCGCATGGGTAGGGTCCAGGACAGGATTCTATGTGCAAATGGACTATGTTGGGCTGGGGATTTCTGTGGGCTGGACCCCAATTTCCAAAGCACTAGCTCTGATCTTTGCTAGAATTAATTAGGGCCTGGGAAGGTGAGATGGTGTGAGGAGCTGCCAAATATGACTAGTAGGTTCACTCCCAAGAGTTGGAGACAAATGGTGCCCACATCTGCCACTTGTGGCTCTAGACACTTCCCAAGCTCACTTAGGGGACTGCTCACAGATGCTCTATAACCCTGCCTGTCTCCTCCCACCTACCCTAGTCAGCTCCCACAACCCTGTCCCTGGGCCCATCAGGATCCCTGCAGAGGCAGGGAGTTCAGGGTTGGCCCAGCCCATCCCCTGCCCCTTGGACCCTCAGGCTGCCACTCCTGGCCGTGAGCACTTACACCTTCCCGGACTCCTGCAGCATCTCCAGCCACTGCGTCTGCTCGAACTCAGACTCGGCAGCCAGCAAGACGTTCCCCTGCCAGGAAGAGGAGCCACAGTGTGGCTGAGAAGCAGCCACTTTTGGGGTGGCGGAGGCCCAGCTCTGCTCTCCCACCTCTCCCACGTCCCTGGGCACTGACCCTTCCCGGGCCAGGCCAAGAGGGGTCGCCCTAGGGAGCCTGAGGAGTCAGTCTTCCCCTGCTGAGCCCAGGCTGAGGGGAGAGCTTACTCACGTGGAAGTCCTGGTGGGAGATCTTCATGGCATAGGGCATGCTGGGCTCTTCCTTGGCCTCCACCAGGCAGCCCCCCAGAGGGATGACGCCCTGAGGGAGAACCAGAACAGGCAGCCCCCACCCCACCAGCTCAGGTCACTCAAGGCCCCAGAGGCCCCGGGACAAGGCCAAGTCCTGCCAAAGGCCCCAGATGGGAAGCCAGATCCTGGGGCCACTGGGCAGAGGCCAGACTGACTCCCAGAGCAGGGAGGAAGGGCTGGGCATGCTCAGGGTACAGGAGGGTAGATGTCCAGCCCAGGAGGCAGGCAGGGAGTCCTTTGCCCCAAGAGCATTTGCTCTCTGGACTCTCTGCTAGACGAGAGCAAGGCAGCAGACGGTCCCCATCCCTCACAAGACACACCCGCTGATGTCCCTGCTGGGCACTTCCCCACATGGCCCTGGGGAGAGGCCGCCTCACCTTAGGATGTATATTGAAGTATTTATTGGTTTCGAAGCTCTTTCTTTCGCTCTCAGAGTAGTAAAGCAGAAAGCTCTCCTTGATGATGAAAAACCTATAGTGGGTCGTAGGGGAGGAGCAACAAGGAGAGAAGACATGAGGTTTCTCGGAACAACAAAATTGTCCGGGGACTCTAGACTCATCCTCTCCAGCTCACATTCCGCATCCGCAGAGGCCTCAGCCCGCCAGCTGAGCCCCTGCAGGCAGCCCTACCCTCACGCCCGAGGACAGCTGTGGTGGGGGCCCCACGACTGACTTCCGGGTCCAGCTACCTTCGTCCCCCCCACCAACCACCACCCTCAGCACAACAGGGTGGCCGGGTCCTTCCCCGGCACCTTCAGCCCCTTGAGCCATCACCTCCAGTCACGTAGTGTCTCCTTCAGGAGGAGTGGAAGGAAGGAAAGAAGGTGTGAGCTGCCAAGATGGGTTTTGGGCAAGTAATCTCGAAGGCTGGCCACCAAATGGAATTGGGGTACCTGCCCAGCGAGGCCAGGTCTGCAGCCCTGAACGCCCCCCAGCGTGACACCTGCACTCCCTTTGTCTCACCCTGCTCCCCGGCCTCCTGCAGGGACTCAGGTCTAACGGAGGGTCTCCGTGACTGTTGGGGACCCTCACAGGGCTAATTATCGGAGCTGACTGTGATAAGACACCAAGTGCCCTCCAGGGGAAGATCCCATTGGGACTCAAAGCCCCAAAGCTCAGGGACACCCAGAATGTCTGGGTCCTTCCCCCAGGGCCCCGCTAACAGCACTGCTGTGGTGAGGGGACGTGAGCAGAATGTGGCGGAGACTCTGAAAGCTGCTGAGTGCGCGTGCGCGTGCGTCTGGGGGAGCGTCTCCAGCAGTGCCGCCAGCTCAGGCGGGCACGCAGTGGCCAAGAGTGCCCACCTCTCCCCTGCTCTGTATTCAGTGACAGGACATTGGGAGCTGGATAGTGACCACAGTGTATTATTTACATCGTGAAAATCAAACGCTACAAAACTGTCCCGCCCCCGCCCCAGGAGCCTGGGTCACACGTTTGCCAGCACACCTCCAGTTGAAAGAGCCCTCTCGTGAGGGCTTGAAAGGTTGCTGGCGAGCGTGAAGTCAGGGAATCTCAGGAGGTCCTAGCAGCCACGTGATCTCTCCGGAGCCCCCAGCGGGACTGCTGACCGCTGCCACCTCTCCTCCCCTGGGGAGAGTGAAGCTCAGCTTTGTGTGAGCCTCATGCCAACCCGCTTTCTTCATTTGCGCCGACCCTCTCTGCCCAGCACACAGCAAATGCAGCCCTGTGGGCCCCGCTCCGGGTGACACTCCGCTAATGCCAACTCTTCCCCCCGGGCTTTCTGCTCCCGGTGCAGACAGAACACAAGAACACCACCTGCCACAGAACTGCGGTAACATTCTGCTCGCCTCTCAGCTTTCCCGCCCGTCTGTGCTCCTCACTAGGTTTGCAGGGCCCTGCAAATGGAGACCGGGCTGCTGTCCCCAGGATGCCCTCCTGCTCACTCTTCATCCGGCTGGGCCCTTCTCACCCTCAGTGACCAGCCCAACCCACCCTGACGTCTGAGCTCCTCCCGCACTTGCTGACCAGGCCATGCACTTGGCATTTAGTGCCCACTGCCACACCCTGTGTGCTCAGCTTGTCCTGAGAGCCTGCTAGGCTCCTGGAGGGCGGGGCTGTCCCACTTAAGTCCCTTGGGCCAAGGTAGATGTCCCCTGTGTCTGTCCCCTGCCTGTTTCAGAGGAACTTCACAGGATAGCTAAGAGCACAGGCTTTGGCATCAGACAGACCTGCGGTTTTCCAGCTAGGGGGCCTCGGGCAAGCAAGCTCACCTCTCTGAGTCTCAGTTTCTTTTAATTTCTTTCTTTTTTTTTTTTTTTTTTTGAGACAGAGTCTCACTTTGTTGCCCAGGCTAGAGTGAGTGCCATGGCGTCAGCCTAGCTCACAGCAACCTCAAACTCCTGGGCTCAGGCAATCCTCCTGCCTCAGCCTCCCAAGTAGCTAGGACTACAGGCATGCACCACCATGCCCGGCTGATTTTTTCTATATATATTAGTTGGCCAATTAGTTTCTTTCTATTTATATAGTAGAGACGGGGTCTCGCTCTTGCTCAGGCTGGTTTCGAACTCCTGACCTCGAGCAATACGCCCGCCTCGACCTCCCAGAGTGCTAGGATAACAGGCATGAGCCACCGCGCCCGGCCGTGAGTCTCAGTTTCTTTACTTGTAGAATGGGGGTAACAGCACCTACTTTAGGCAGCTATTGTGAGGATCAGGTGAGGTTGTGCTCCTCACTCTGCCAATTTGCAGAGGACTCAGGACAGAGCTGACAGAAGCTTCCCCAAGGTCTGCATATGCAGGACTGCAGGGAGGGGTGAGGCAAGCAGCATGGGACTGCCTCCTGGGACCTCCCCCACCCCCTTCCCATCCCCCTCCATGGCTTCTGAAATACTGCTAAGGACTGAATTGTGCCCCACCTCCAAATTCCTATGTTGAAGCCTGCACCAAATGCAACTGTTTTTAGAGATGAGGTCTTCAGGAGTTGATTATGGTTAAATAATCAACTTGTAAGGGAAAGATCTGTTTCTCTCTCCCCCACCACCTGAGGACATATTGAGAAGGTGGCCATCTGCGAATCAGGAAAAGTGTCCTTACCAGAACCTGACCATGCTGGCATCCTGATCTCAGAGTCCCGGCCTTCAGAACCTCAAAAACATACATTTCTGTGGTTTAAGTCACCCGGTCTCAGGGCAAAGTACTGTGCCAGGCCTGGAGGGTGGGTAGGCAGACAATCGTTGCACACACAGGTGGGGGAGAGCTGGGTTCTGGGGTCCAACAATCCCCATTCCTCAAGCTGCAGCCTCGGGCCAGCTCCCAGGCTCACCGAGCCTCTCTTTCTTCCTCCATAAAATGGGGGCATAGATGTCTGTCTTTTAGGGCTGCTGTGACGATTCCTTCATGGATTCAACAAATAATTGCTAAGCTCCCACTCTGCGCCAGGCTCTGCTCTGGGTTCTGGAGAGACAGTTGTGGACAAGAGAGACAAAAACTCCTCTGCATAGAGCTTACACAGCTTGCATGTAGCAGGCAGTGGGGAGGGTGGCAGAGAGTACATAAATGAGAGTGAGAGAGGGATATCCGTGTCAGGTGCTGATCAATGCTATGGAGAAAAATAAATCAGGGGGGCGTGGTGGTAGTGACAGGTGAGAGTGAGGACAACATTAAAGAGGTGGTCGGGGAGAAGCTAATTCACAAGTGACCTTGGTGGAGAGGGAAGGTGTTCCAACAGAGAAGCCGCAGGTGCAAGGGCCCTGAGGTGGGAAACCTGCCCAGCTCTGGAGGGAACTGCAACCCTGCGGCAGCTGGGCCAGATTGCACAGGGCCCGGTGGCTGTGGCAATAACAATAACGGTCACGCCAACGTTTATTTAGCACTTACCACAAAGCATGCCTTATTCCAAGCAATTACCTCTGTTAATGCATTTAACACTCACAATGATCCTATGAGGCAGGTGCTCCCTGCATTTTATATGGACAGAAATGAAGCAGAGAGGTGGCACAACTTGCTGCAAGTCACATCACTAGTTGGTAGAGGCTGGCTTTTCTCTGAGTAAGAGAGACAGCCACTGGAGGGCTCTGAGCAGGAGTGCAGGATCTGACTTGCACTGATTGCAAAAGGCTCATCCTGGCTGCGGTGTTAAGGACAGTGTTGAGGTGGAGGCAGGGTGCTCTGTTAGGGGTTATTGCCACATATTGTCAGGGGGCAAGAGAGAATCCGGTGGGTGGAGGTACTTGCCTGGTACACAGGAGGTGTTCCCAAAGGTCACACCCTCCTTTTCTTGGCCTCCAAAGGACAGCGTAGAGAGAGGCAGGGGAAGGAAGTTGGATGTCCGGGACAGCCTGTAGGCTGTAGGGATTGCAAAGGGCCCACAGGATCCTCATGCCACACCTGGCCCAGCTGCAGCTGTCCTGGCTAGGCTTGAGTGAAGGTGGGAGCGAAGGGAGGGGAGCTGGTGTGGACCTGGGGGAAGTGTGTGACTGTCTGACCGGCAGGGGTGAGTTCTACCCAACACCGGGCTCATCTGGCCAGCACTCTTCTAGGACCTCCAGGACAACTTTACTTATACACCTGCCCTGGTGACAGCCCGGATGCCCCAGCTGATGATTCTTAGCTTCTTCTCCGCGGCTGGGGGACCAGCACCCTTCCTCCCATCCTTCCTTCAAAGTCCTCTCCCTGTGACTGCAAGCCAGGGGCCCCCTCCTTCTGGGCCCTGCAGAGTTGGGCTGGCTGTGCCCAAGGGCTGCAGATAGTCACCACTTCTGTAGCCATCCTCAAGCGTTGGCTCCTGTGCCACGGGCTCTACGTGGATCACAGTATTTGATCCACGGAACAATCCTGGAATGTTAGGTTTTCATTCTCATTTTACAGATAAAGAAACTGTGGCTTAGAGGCAAAATAATGTGAGCAAAGCCACACACTCAGCGCAGAGGTGGAGCTGGGACTGGAACCCACGGGCAATAGTTCCTACGCCTGCTCCCTACACCACAGTGCCTGAGGAGCTGCTCCCCAGCTCCTGGCCAGGAAACAGATGTGCCAGAGGCAGTGGGTTTCGGGGTTGGGGTAGCCAAGGGTTGGAGCTCTGCCCCATCAGCAGCGAGCCTGGGGCAAGTTACCTAATCTGTTTAGGCCTCAGGTGCCCCCGTGTAACTTGAGGTTAATAATACCTCTACCTCATAGGGTTGTCAGGATGCTGCCTTTGTCCACATAAAGACTTAGAACATCACGGTAAATATTCCATAGACCAATACTGTTATTATCACTGGGCTCCGCATCTGCTGCAGCCTCCCCTGACCTCCTTTCCCATTCTCGCTCACCGGCTCCTCCTGGAGCCAGCTGGCCGGCTCCGGACACATGGCACACGCCGGTGCCTGCCCCTCCCCTGTCTGCAGCCCACCCCTCCTTCCAGGCCCAACACCAGCCCTGGCGGAGATTTGTCTGTCGGCCCTAGCCCTCAGGGCCCTCCTTGGCACCCGACAGGCGTGGCGAAGCCCAGCAAGGGTGTGAGTAAGGGGCTCGAGCCAACCCCGGCTGCCTGCTCTCTCCAGGAACACGCACGAGGTGCCAAGGCACTCACTTTGCTGAGTGTTTCATTGACAGTATCTTATTTAAATTTCTCTCAATAACTCTAAAAGATGGAAGAGTTTGGTGTTTTCTCGTCCACTGGTGAGGAAACTGAGGCACAGAGGGATTGAGCAACTAGCAAGTGGCAAACCTGAAACTCAGCCGTCTCTGCTGACAAAGCCCGAGTTCTCCACTGCTGTGCTCTGTGGTGCCGGCTTCTCCTCATCATGTGTGCCCTGGAGCTTGCTGGGGCTTATCTCTGCAGACTGGCTGCAAGCCCCAGCTCAGCTGGGGTCAGAGGGCATCAGCCATTCCCCTGCAGCAGCTGGGTCCTATGCTGGCCCCTGGGGCTTGATGACTCACTACTCTCAAGGTGCTCATTGAATGTGGGAGAAAGAGTGTAGAAACTGATAATTTAAAAAATAAACCAATGATTGCCACCGTGCCCTGCTGGGCACCATGCTAGTAACAGCTGTGTGTTAACGCATTCTCTGCTCACACGAGGTAGGGGAGGAAACTGGAGCAGAGAGAAGTTAAGTAATGTGCCCCAGATGGCACAGCAGAGAAACCAGGGAGCTGGAGCTGTTGTAAGGCACCAGGGTGTACCGGAACATGGTCCAGCAGCCGGGTACACCGCCACGCTAGAAAGTGCCATGAGGATCAACTGTGACAGTGTAAAGTGCCAGGATACACTGCTGGTACTTCGCCACGCCTGTGGGGTGCCAGGATACACTGCTGTATATTGTGGCGACGGGTTCCACCTCTGGTCGTGCAACAAGGACCACCCACACAGGACAGCAAATTAATCCATAAACAAAGAAGCAAGGGTT